TTTTTTTTTGGTGTTTCCAGACAGGGTTTGTCTGTGTAGCCCTGGCTGTCCTGGAACTCACTCTGTAGACCAGGCTGGCCTCAAACTCAGAAATCCACCTGCCTCTGCCTCCCAAGAGCTGGGATTAAAGGCGTGCACCACCACTGCCTGGCAGCCCAGTGCTTTCTGTCCATTTGTTTATAGGCCATCGGAGGCTGAGGAAGCCTGGGTGGCCAGGTCTGTGGGCCTCAAGCCCACAGAAGCCTCTAGAAGATGTGTTCATCCCAGAGTAGAATTTACCAGCCTTACAGGCCCAGGGCTGGGTGAGAGAGGTCCTGATGGAGTCTTGGGATAGAGAGTCCCTGTGCTGTGAACTTGGAGGACAGCGAGAGAGAAACTGAGTGTGTGAATGTGCACGTGGGCGCGTGTGCATGTATGTGTGTGTGTATGTATGCGTGTGTGTGTGTGTGTGTGTGTGTGTGTGCACATGTGTAAAGTGGTGCCAGCCTGGCCTGGAGTGTTTGAGATACTGCTTAAAGCCCTACCTGAAGGATGCGGTTCAGGTGGTGGAGGACTTGCCTGGCTTGCATGATCCTGGATTCCATCCCTGGCATGGTATAGACCTACTGTGGGCACATAGTAATCCTTTCACTGGGAAGGTGGAGACAAGAGGTTTAGGGGTTGATTCAAGGTGATCTGGAGTCCATGAGACACTGGCTCAAGTTCTACCAAGGCACTAATTCTGTGAACCAGTCCCGCCCTCCCTGTGACCCAGTAAAGCAGAATACCCATTTTGCAGATGGGAAAATCTGAGGTCAGTGTGAAATGTGGGCTGAAACTTGCTGCTGGATCCGATCCAGGAGCTCGTATGTTTATCTCTGCTCTCATATGGGGAGTGGGGGGAGTCTAGGGGCTTGGGTTGGAAAAACCAGGCTACTCCCAGCTAGGGCCACTCTCTCTGTGCTTCCTTCAGCTTGGGTTAAAGGAAGTTGGGCCTCCCTGGCCGGAAGTCTCCTTGAGTAACACAAGGAGGAAGGGTTCATCCCCATTGTCTACCTCTGTCCTTTAACCAAACCTCTCTGTTTACCTTGTAATGGAAGAACAGTAGTTGGCAGCTGGGGCTCCATACCCTAGGAGTCCTATAGAGAGCTGGCTAGAAATGGCATGTTTGGGACCAGAACAGCAACTGAAGCCGCTTCGTCCCATGTCTCTCTCAGTCTACCTAACCAGGCTGTTCTTTCCACCCGACATCTTCGATATCTGCTCTGAGGCTGCCATCCCTCTTTTGGGCTTACACCAGAAGTGATCCACACTTTTATTTAGCTCTTTACTTTGACGAAGGTTCCTGGGTTTCTGACACCCAGTGTGGCAGAGCTGACTGGTTCTCTTTCCTTGGTGATTGTCGTTGGCTTCACCCTTCATCCCCCACAGATAGGAGACTCAATGACACAGCAGGAAATCTGCCTTTTAAGATTTGTGACTGGCTGGCTGTGAGGTGTACCAAGACCTTACAGTCTCTAGCTGAGGACAAGCACCCCCTCCCAGCAGAGTCCTCCCCAAAGCGCCGGATGTGGCTGTTGACAGACATAGCGTGAACCAAGTGGGGCCGCCGCGGTGCCCCACCCTCTCTGCAGCTAAGATGTATTTAGGGGAAGTGGACGACGGTGGTTTCCTTGATGAGCCACAGACATTTCATCCAGTCCTCTCGAAAGGTTGCCTGGTGTTCCACTTGCAGGAGATGAGACGAATACAGGGTAAGAAGTCCCCAGGTGATAAGGGCAACTGTCAATCTAGGCTCTCTGGTTCCGAAGCCCTGGCTGGCCCAACTTGGGTGTATGGAAGGCTTCAGTCTGTCACAGCTGTTCTGTGTGGCAGATACTCGTGCTGCCAGCCACCCCTACCAGCCAAGACCCTTTGTGATGAAGTTCTAGTTCTGTGCTGCTGGACCACTGCGGTGGGTGTTGCTACCCCCTGCCTCCTCTCTGTCTATCTGCTACCAAACTGGTAGCAGGTGGTGAGGGTGGGCCTCTGCTCTGCTAGCTCAGCTGCAGAAGAATGCAGAAGTTGTCACTCTAAATTGAGGACTGGGAAGTGTTGGCTGCCTGGCATCCTGAGGAAGAGCCCCGAGGCTGTTCTGTGTCTGCACAGCCATGTCTATCTACCACAGCTCTAAAGTCCCATGTCTGCTTCTCTGGCCAGGGGGATAGTGTATTTCTATATTCCAGAATATTGCAAAGGCAAAGGAGGAGTGTGTGTGGAGCCTGATTGATCTGTGAGGTCAGCTTCCTTCCTCAGTCCCACCCCGTTGTTTATGGAGACAGAGCTGGCGCTCTGTGAAGAGAGATGAGACTCTAGAATCAAGAGTTCAAGTTATGCCGGGCAGTGGTGGCGCACACCTTTAATCCCAGCACTTGGGAGGCAGAGGCAGGCGGATTTCTGAGTTCAAGGCCAGCCTGGTCTACAGAGTGAGTTCCAGGACAGCCAGGGCTACACAGACAAACCCTGTCTCGAAAAACAAACAAAAAAACAAACAAACAAACAAACAGTTCAAGTTATGGCCAGAGATGGTGGTGTATGCCTTTAAGCCCAGAACTTGGGAATTTGAAGCCAGCCTGGTCTACAGAGTGAGTTCCAGGACAGCCAGGGCTACACAGAGAAAACTGTCTCCAAAAAACAAATAACCAAACAAACAGAATTCAAAATATGGCTGCCAGCTAGTGACCCACAGCCAGTGAGTTACTAGGGTTCCTGATCTTCATGCTTTCATGACAAGCATTTTACTGACTGAGTCAGCATCTCCTTGGCCCTTCTGCACCTCTGTTTAAGGACAACCATTGCTATTCCTGCTTCCTAGCATTTTGCTACAATTTGGGGCTCTGCATTAGCACTGGGGGGGGGGTACCTTGATGAGTGGAGATGTGGGTGTTTTCCAGATTCTTGATAGTCCACCAAGCTCTAAGGTGAGCATCCTGTTACTGGAGTGGAGGTAGCATCATGGTATGTACTGAGTAGCCCTCACACTCACTGGACTTTATCCAAGAAGGCTTGGATATCACTACAATCTGGGGAGTCACTTTTCTACCCCAAGGGATACTGGTTTTCATCATCCTTAGCTGTTATATCATGTTAGGATGGAACCCAGAGCCTCAGTACATGTTAGGCAAGTGCTGTACCACAGAGGGATAACCCATCTCTTTTTTTTTCTTTTAATCTCAGCCACCTTGGGGCTGGAGAGACGACAACATGGTTAATAGCACTTGCAGGTGGATCACACTTTCAATCCCAGTGCTTGGGAGGCAGGCACAGCTGGTTTCTATGAGTCCCAACAACAAAAGAGCACTTGCTACTCTTGAAAAGGACCTGAGTTTTTTCCCAGAATCCTTCAGGTGGCTCACCACAGCCTGCAACCTAGCTCTAGGGAATCAGCCCCTTCTGGCCTCTGAGGGCACCTGTGCTCACATGAGCACACACAGACACACATACAAATACTCAGCAGTAAAGAAATAAAAATCTTAACCACCTTGCTGGGGGAAAGATCAGCTGTCATTCAGTCCCTGGCTTGCTGTGTGGTAAGCTGCTGGCCGTTGTATCTCTTGTATTCCTTGCTTACACATTAGTTCAATTTTAAAAGAAAATCACATGTTTAACTCTCGATGGTAAGATCTCTTTGCAAATCGAAGAGATTGGAGTTTTGTTTACTTTCTAGATATCTTTTCCTAATTTTGTTCATCTGAGTTAATGTTTATCTTTCAGTTATTAAGAGGTAACAAATGATCAATTTTCATGTTTCTCTCTCCTGCCCTTCATTTCCCCCTCCCTCCCTCCCTCCCTGCTCCTTCTCTGCTGCCTTTGGAACAATGCTTAGCTAATCATTGTATATTGTCATTTATTGTCTTAACACAATCCTCAGACCATATAGATTTACAGACCACATAGAGCTAGTCAGCACCCAGCTCTGGAGGGCCTCCTGGGGGGCTGTGGCAGTGACCTCTCTGCCCTCTGCTGACCACACCCCCGCCTCACAGCCATCTTTCTCTCCAGGCACCTGTGCTCAGCTCCATCCCCCTCCTCAAGGCACCTTGCAAGTTGTCCGTGGAGATGGCACTTCACTGGGGACTGTGCTCATATTCCACTGTCCCTCTGGCCACCAGATGGTGGGGTCCGGCCTCCTCACTTGCGCCTGGAATGGAAGCACCGTGGACTGGTCTTCAGGAAGCCCTGTGTGCAAAGGTATGCCCTCTTCCTTCCTGAGAGGCCCCGGCTCAGCTGCTAGTAGGGTAGGAGATGGGGTCCCCAGATTCTGTCACATCAAAGGTCCAGTCATAGGCTAGCCCACATTGACTGTTCTCGTCCCACTATTGCGTGATCTCACATCTGAATACCGATGCAGTGCTAGCTTCAACCCCTTGCTGCTGCTCTGGCGCCTGACTGGTCACTAGCGCTATCTAAGCTGGTCCTCTATCATCTGTGAAGTAGGGAAACAACCCTACCCACTTCCTTGACCACCCTCTTTTCCTTAATGAAGGCCTCAGGTAAACTCTAACTAATGTTCTAGGTGCCAAGAATTCTAGGAATTAGCATAGAAGGCCAGGATTGTGCTAGCCCTGGATCCCCTGTCTCAGGGAAGGAAGGCTCATGTTATATTTGCCAGGTTGTATGTGTAGAACCTGTCCTGACTGTCTAGGGCCTTATGTGGACTTTTCCTAAGCGAAAGGCTGGTATATTACGTTAGTGCACAGAGTCAAAATAGCCTGGTGCTTGCACGTACTTCCCAGAGCCTCTACCATCCTGTGTTAGCTCAATCTCTTGAGATGAGGTTGTCTGTAAGGACTACATTCTGAGACTGAGAACCCAAGATGGCAGGGCTAACCTGTCAAGGACATAACCCAGGTGGTGGTCAGGCAACCCAGGAGTGAGCCTTATGGGGTTAGGAGGCCCCTGGGGGCAAAGGGTGCACCCTTATATCTTGTGGATGATTCTTAGCTGTCCCCCCATTTCACAGCCCTTCATCCACCATTGGTTAGAGCATGTCCTGTCTCTCAGAGAGCTGGAGTCTAAACTCTAGATGGTCAGCGTGCAGTCAGGGGGCTGAAAATGGCCTGGGGACCTGGACTGTATAGCCCAAGGGAGTATTACAGATATACATGCTTGTTTGAATTACAATCTTGGAATCTTTTTCAAAGAATATTCCTGAGAATCTAATGGGACATGTTCTCAGTGACAGCTGAGGTCACACAGCTGACCCTGTGCAAGCCATCATTCTGGCTTCTTTCAGGAAGAGGCTCTGAGAAGCGTTTGCCTTCATGGGCCTTGTGAAAATTGATGGCGCCTCTGCTGACACACCCTGTCAAACCAGCTGACAGGCTCCCTTCTTGAGAATGTCTTCCTTGATAAATCCCTTTAAATATATTGTTTCCAGATTGTTACCTTAGCCACTAGGGCCTGAATGACTTCCCCAAAATGGACCCTCCTGTGGGCCCCACCCTAACGACACTGGGCCTAGCAGGTCAGGATCAGCTTGCCAAGAGCTGTGGTTTTCCCTTGCAGCTGTGCCACCGCACGAGACCTTCGGCTTCAAGGTGGCAGTGATCGCCTCCATTGTGAGCTGTGCCATCATCCTGCTCATGTCCATGGCCTTCCTCACCTGCTGCCTCCTCAAGTGCGTGCAGAAGAGTGAGCAGCGGCGTGCTGACAGGTACAATGGCCTCACATTCTTCCAGAAGGTGTGCCTGGCTGTGAGGTTGCTCACCACATCTGCCAGGTCCCCTGGGGCAGCATCTGAGCGTCCCACAGGTCCATCTGTCCTCGTGGACGTAGCCATAGTATGTGGCTCCTAGGATTCTGGGACATATAGCTGGGCTATGAGGACACGGAGCATGCATGCAAGTGTGTGTGTGTGTGCGCGCGTGTGCGCACGCATGTGCACACTCGTGCATGTGCGAGTGCATTTGTGTAGTCTCTCTGTCTCTCTGTGTGTATGCAGTTGGTTGTGTATGAATGTAGAAGTCACAGAACAGCCTTGAGTGTCCTTCAGGAATTCTGTCTCCACCTCTTGTCTGCGTGTAAGAGTGCTAGGATTATGCTCACATGGTCTATCCAGCTTTTTACAAGTTCTGGGCATTGGAACTCATGTCCTCATGTTGCCCAGGAAATGTTTCCTCAACTCTGCCATTTCCCTGTCCACATACAGGGGATGCTTAGTGACCCTGCATACACATATGCCAGTCTGTTGTGTTAGTGCATTTTTGGCTGCCACAGATGGATGGCCCTACACATCAGGTGGGTATCACTGCCCTCACAGATGTGGGCCTAGGATTCCAGATGTGTACCATCACACCTGTGCACCCCACAGTTGTGTGCCCCCATACCTGTATACCACCAGACCTGTGCACCCCACACCTGTGTACCACCACATCTGGCAGTAATTAACTCCTCTTTCTCATTGTTTTATTGTGTTAAAACACACACATAAATTCACCATGTTATTCACTGTTAAGGGAATTGAGGCAGGTGAGACAGCTCAGTGGGTAAAAGGTCCTGCTATCAAGTCTGATGACCCGTGTTCTGTTCCTGGAACCCACACAGTGAAAGGAGAGAACTGACTCCCACAAGTTGTCCTCTGACCTCCACGTGTACCCTGTGGTGCATGTGCCTCCTACCACAAAATAAAAGTGTAATTAAAAAAATTAAAACCCTGTATTTGCTGTTCAGCACTACAAAAATAAATGAATAAGCGAACTATTTTTTTAAAGGCATGCCATTTGTTCCACGGCACTTACAGCAAACAAGTTCAAGAGTCAGCTGCTCATGCTAGAACTTTCCACATTTGTTTGCTAAGTTGATTTTC